AGAGATATGGGGAGGGGGGAGACAGACAGAGAGGGAAGAATGAGACACGGGGAGAAAGGGGGAATAGAGAGATAGGGAGGGGGAGAAAGAGACACAGGGGGAGAAAGAGATGGGGAGGGGGAGAAAGAGACAGAGAGGAAGAGAGATGTGGGGGAGAGAGAGAGACAGGGAAAGGGGGGAGAAAAACAGTGGAAGAGAGGGAGAAAGAGGCAGAGGGGTAAGAGAGACTGGGAAGGAGGGGGGAGAAAGAAACATACAGAGGGACGGGGGGAGACAAAAAGGCACACAGAAGGGCTGTATATATCACTGGTGTATCCAGGGGGGCAACAGGGCAATTGCTCCCCCTCCCCTGTCCGCAGGCACCGTGTGGGCAGGGGAGGAAGGAAGAGAGGACCTGGGAGCTCACCCTGCAGCTCCTCTGGGTCCTTCTTGCACGAGCACAGAGCGTTGCCGCGATTACCATGGCAACGTTACCGCTCTTGCGAGAGTCAACTCTAGCCCTGGAGCTACGGTCTAGTGTTCACTCTCAACACTGTGACCCCCAAGGATTCCTGGTGGTCGCAGTGGTGAGAGTGAACTCCAGCCCCATAAACACACTGCCCCCACACACACACCATACACATTCACACACTGCCCCCATACACACCATACACATTTACACACATTGCCTCACACATACACTGCCCACCCATATACACATAGACCCCCATACACAGCCCCCCATACTAACATTGCCACACACGTACACAGCCCACACACCCTACACATTCACACACTACACCCCCCACACACACTGAACCTTTCACACACATTGCACCACTGCTCCTATTCCCTACTACAGCCCCATATCCCAGCAGATCCCAGGTAAGTTGTCAAACTGTTCTTAAATGGTTTGACTACTTACTCTGGAGCAGTAGTGGTTATTGTGCATGGATTATTTCTTTAAATAATCTACAAGTGCCCCAGTGCCGGCCAGCAGCCAGCCAGCCAACCCACAGGCTGGCCAGTAGCCAGCCAGTTAGCCAGCCCACAGGCCAGTAGCCAGCCCACAGGCCTACAGCAAGCCACAGGCTTACAGCCAGCAAGCCCACAGCCTGCCAGTCGCAGCCAGCAAGCCACAGCCTGCCAGCCGCAGTCAGCAAGCCCACAGCCTGCCAGCCGCAGTCAGCAAGCCCACAGCCTGCCGGCAGTAGCCAGCAAGCCCACAGCCTGCCAGCCGCAGCAAGCAAGCCCACAGACTGCCAGCCAGCAACAGTAATTAAGGTAAGAGGAGCCAACTTGGCCTAGGTATCAGTGAGCTATGCTGTGTTGCTATATTGTGAATAGGAACCAGAGTGTTGGAGAGACCACCCTCCAGGCCCCATTAGACTCCATTGTAGTCTCTAATGGGGCCTGGAGGAGATTCTTTCTAACACACTCTCTAAAGGACACTGAGATAGCCTCTGCTAGAAATCCCCTCCATGGCCCATTAGCCCTCAATTGTAGTCTCTACTGGGGCCTGGAGGCGACTGTTTCCAGCAGGGGATATCTAATGGACGCTGAGATGGCCTCTGTTAGAAAGACCCCCTTCCAAGCCTATTAGACTCCATTGTAGTCTCTAATGGGGCCTTGAGGGGATTCTTTCTAACACACTCTCTAAAGGACACTGAGATAGCCTCCGCTAGAAAGACCCCCCTCCATGGCCCATTAGCCCTCAATTGTAGTCTCTGCTGGGGCCTCGAAGGGCTTATTGCCCTTTTGTTCCTTGTGTCTAAAGATTGTGTAGGGTGTGGCTGGAGGCGGTGCATGGAGGCGGGACAAGGGTGGCTCTTGCTGCAGAGTATGGGTGGGGCCTGTAAGGGGGCCCTTGATTTATTTTGCCCGGGGGCCCTGAGGGTTCTCAGTCCGCCCCTGCCTGTGACCACCTCCTGACTGCTGCTCGCACCCGTACGGCCAACTCGCGCTTGCAGGACCTCTCGTGGGGGGCCTCTCTCCTATGGAAGAGCCTTCTCATTTAAGAAGGGCCTTAAAATCCATCTCTTCAGGAAAACTTATGGCCTCCCAGAGTAACCTCTACCTGACATACCTGTCTCCTGCTCTCTCCTATAGGACAGTGTTTTACTCTCTCCTCCAGCTCTCTCCTATAGGACAGTGTTTTACTCTCTCCTCCAGCTCTGCTTCACTCCCACCCCATTTGATATTTCCTGTCTTAACGTGTCTTATACCCCACCTCCTATAGACTGTAAGCTCGTTTGAGCAGGGTCCTCTTCAACCTATTGTTCCTGTAAGTTTTCTTGTAATTGTTCTATTTATGGTTACATCCCCCCTCTCATAATATTGTAAAGCGCTACGGAAACTGTTGGCGCTATATAAATGGCAATAATAATATTCTGTTTGATTTTGCATGATTCCATAGCTATATTCCCCAAATCCCATTGCAATGTACCCCACAGATGTATGGCCATATTTCCTTTTCCATGGGGAACTGAGAAAGCTCTGTACCAAGTTACAACATTTGTATCAGTATGCAAAACATTATTTCCTTGGATAAATTCCATAAACCTATTAGATCAGTATGCAGCTCTGTTTGTGAGTATAATGTCACATTTGTACACTTCTGAGAGCCTGTTGGCATTTGAGATATAAACTGCTTGTATGGGTCTGCTTAGTATGATATGCAAATAGTAAAGGTTCATTCTAGTGGCACGGGCAAGTTAAAACATTTTTTAACTTGTGCAAAGTTATTAAGCTCTTATGTACTGTGTTCATTTTTGCTTTAAAGGATTTGTCATGTCAGACACATGAGGCTAATTGTAGTTGGCTTGTTATGGGTATCTTGTAGGTGACCCCTGAAAATACCTTTAAATGGACAATAGCAAAGGCATCATATTTCACTGTGCGCATATGACTATGTTTTTAAGTAATTTACAGCTTTAAACCAGAGATTTGGTCATAAGCATAATGATTCTTAATTCAGGAGCTATGACTAGAACTGTCAAAGAGAAAGTTGACATGCAGCACAACCATGTAAGTTCAATAAAGGTTCACTGACTGAAATGTTGTGAAATTATTTTGAAAGCGATTGTATTTCACAAGGATTAGGTATTAAAGACATACCAGGTATGTTATCAAATGAATCTTCTACGTTCTCAAAGTTGATTGTACCTAGTTACACTGAGATCAGAAGCTCCTGTTCAAAAATATATTGTATTGTAGATTTTCAGAGAGGTTTAGGATGCATTTATTGTTCCTCTTAGGATTTCTACAATCCCCTGTCAGGATGGACCAGTGGCCCAACATGCAGAATTAAGTAAAACACGTAACAAATACAAACAGTAACAATGTATTACCGGGCCTTAACGTAATAGAATAAACAGTAACGAGCCAAGGTCAGGGATGCAGAAAGGAACAAATATGGAAAGGACAAAGCCAAAGGGTCCGGGATGCCAGAAATACAGGAAGTCAAGCCAAGCTAAGGTTTAAAACCAATAATCAGAATCAGGAACGCGTTCTCAGATAACCAACAGGATGGAAACCACGACAGTGCACTGAACAACTGCAGGTTTCGGTTTAAATAGCCCAGTAAATCCTGCTATTGGCCAATTTGGGTCCCATGACCCCAGAACGTGCGTGCACGGTGAAAAAGTGACGCTGCATGCACGTTTACGTCACTAGTGATGTCATTGTGGGTGGCATTATTATTAAGAGCGGTCTTGCAAAGGCCGGCAGCCATCCCAACGCTGGACCCAGCCACCGATCCACAAGCTGCATAGAGGGAGAGGCTCTGGCGGTGAGGTGAGTAACATCTCCCGCCTTTAGTGCGACCACGCCAATCAGGTAGAGGTCACACTGAGGTGCCGATCAGGCACCGTGACACTATCCCCCACACAAAGACCGACCACCGGGCAGGCAGGACCATGACCACGGGCATGGAAAGAATGAAGAAGGTGTCCAGCATGAATGCCAACAGCAGAAACCCATGAGTGTTCCTCAAGACCATAACCCTTCCAATCCACAAATACTGAAAAGAAACACCTAAGAACCTGGAGTCTAAAACAGAATGGACTTCATACTCCTCCTGTCCTGCAAAAACCAAGGGAGGGGGTGGCGCAGAAAGAGTAGTGTATCTATTGCAGGTAAGTGAGTTTAATAAAGAAAGATGAAAAGTACGGGGTATTCAAAGGTTGGCAGGGAGGTCAAGACATAAGACACCGGATTGATTCTACGTGAAACATGGAAAGAACCAATGTATCTGGGATCAAACTTCATGGAGGGTACCCTGAGTCTAATGTGTCTAGTGGACAGCCAAACCTTGTCTCCGTACTTGATAAGAATGTGCAGCACTACGTCTCTTATCAGTATGCTGCTTAAAATGGGACGCAACGTTGGCTAAGGAAGAATGAACCAGTTCCCATGTTTTCCTCATAGAGTTTAGATGCTTATTCAGAATGGGGATATCTGTATCAGAAAACACAAAAGGTAATATAGTAGGGTGGATACTATATACAACATAAAAAGGACTTAGTTTGGAAGAGTCATGAGTAGCGTTGCTCCAGCCAAATTCTGCCCAGGACAAGAGGTCAACCCAATAATCATGGGAAGTGTTAACGAAACAACATAGAAATACTTCCGGACACTGATTTACCCTTTCAGCAGCCCCATTAGTTTGGGGATGATAAGATGAAGAAAAAGACTGGTCGGGGGCGTGGTCTAGACTCCGAGCAATATGGACGTCTAACTCCCGAGCTCCTCACCATCAAGTTTCTAAAATGCCACTTGCGACTAACCCACCGCTCAAAATGGGGCGTACCAAGCGAAATGACTACCAGCAAACTCCCAGGGGGGAATCCCAGACATCGATGTCGGGTCCCATTGATGGATTCCTACACACCCCGACGGGGCCTACCCATGAGGCGTACAGCCCCATAATGGCACCGGTGTCCCCTGCCTCCACTACCTCAGACCGCGTCCATCCCACTATGGCAGACATAGGCGCGTAAATCAGGCGACTAGCTGAGACTATGGTTACCAAAAATGATTTGCAAATGCTGGAAACAACCCTATCGACTTCGATCACAACGGCAGTCACGGCACTCCAAACTGACCTCGACACGCAAAAAGGCTGCATCCAAATGCTGGAAAACCAGGCCCAAACCGCCCAACAACAGGCTGCTGCAACAGACACTGCCATAACCAGACAAGGCAACATGCTCCTTACTTTGAGACGCCAAGTGGAGGACCTAGGTAACCGGAGCCGTCGCTACAACATCAGGATCTGGGGCATGCCTGAATCAGAAGAAGGGGAAAATACAGAAGAGCTCCTGACTGGACTGTTCCGCTTAATCATGGGAGAAGAAACCCTGTCGGAAATCAGATTCGACAGGGCCCACCGAGCCTTGAGACCAAGAGGGAGGGGGGGAATATAATTTCCATTCTAACACACACTCCTAAATGAGCAACCAGGCAGCGAGCCCACCCCAGACTATGAGCCCCACAGAGATGTAAAACCATCCTTAGCCTTCCACACTTAGACACAAACGCAGGGCCTAAGCAGACACATAAGACATACTTCGAAATAGGCAAATAGCACACAGGTAAAAGCCACTCACCTGGGAATCACGAAGGCCGCCCCCGGGGCGGGCAATGCATACACCCACACCTTCACGTAAGCCGCAACCCCTACGCAATCCATGCACGCAGGACCCTACAACACACATGCTCATACGAACCTCAAAGGTGGAGTCTGAAAGGAGATGAGCATGGCTCTCCCTATGGGAGTGGAGGAAACATACCCGCAGGACACACACATAGCATATGGCTGCACAGACAGGTGAACCATGCCATACACTAGGATATGGACCACCTGGAGAACCCATCCAACACTATATTGCAACGTAAGGAAGCAACAGTGTAATAACTAGGCCCTGGGGGGGAGATGGGAGGAGGGAAGGAGACGGGGTGGACATTAAAGTCAATGATCAATGCTTAACCGAAACTGTGTAACTGCTGACATGATATATTGTATACGCTAGATACTAACATCCCCCCCCCACAGAACAACCCCACAACTATGAGACAGACCACCGCGGTTGGCATGCCGACCCGGAGCCACAAACAGGACAAAACCCTGCACGGTCTCAGTAGACTCAGAGCGACACCTGGCTATACTACTGACACCCCCCGTATCCCACTGACTTGATGCCAGCTAGCTGAACCCAGCGCCGCCTGAGCCACTCGACTTATAGCTTACCATGACAGTGGGGGAACCGTGGTACCTCCAAACATTCTCAAGGCCCGCCTGAACAAGGCTAGGAACCTCCCAGGACACTAAGAGAGACGCTGAAACAATCCAGTAGCCTGCACCCTGGGATGCCACCAGGAAACTGACTAGCAAGACCTATAACACAAATGACGCCTCGAATTCACTATCAAACCAAACACAAGGTGGTGCACAGACACCTGACGGACACCCGCCT